GAATAGGAGATAATCAATCTCATCATATCAACTTCATATCGAAGGTGGCGTTCTCTGTGGACTTCCTTTACGCTACTTTTTATAATAAGCAGTCTTTATTGCTTCGTTAGTCAAAACATTTAAGGCGGCTTATAGATCGTTAAATTCAAATCGACATATTTAAATGTTTTATGACGAAAAATCACTTTTCCCGTCACAGTGAAGTTGTAGCTTTAATTAGACAATTTTTTACGGCGCCAAGTTTCTACTATAAGTAAGCAATTGTGTCTTCATTCAAGTAAGCAACTCGTATCTGATAGGGATAAGGAAGCAAGTCAAGCCCGGCCCCTGTCGAAACGAAACTGGGAAGCATGTGCGTCAAAGCGCCTTTCCAATAGCACCCTAAGGATGTCCGTCGACTTTAGCCCGTCGCACTCCGTCTATGGCTGCGGCCAAGTGCGGTAAAAGTGTTGCCATTGTTGTTGAAGAAGCAAGCTAGATGACATCTGTTACGCGTACGCACGCCTTTCTTTCCGACAAAATAGCTTTCTGAGCCTTCTACTGGCACTGTTGCCATCGACACTCGAAGACATTGAATAGGAATCGTAGGAGATGACGTGCGGCGGCATGACGACGCACGCTATCCGGTAGCTTTGCTAGCGTGCAATGGCAAATCCGTTAAATATTAGCAGAGAAGGAATGGCAAAGACGCATCTGCGGCGTTGTCGTCAGTCGACTCGGGTAGGGTTTATTTCGAAAACAGCGCTTTGGACGACGGCAGCAGCGATAGCACAAATAGAGCAGAACGTACGTCCTCCGTCAACATTTGATGCTATACGGTGGCTATTATGTCGTAGTTAATTGTACCGCTATAGTAGTTATAACATCGGACGTGCGTGACATGGATTATGTAGAATCTGTGGCCCGTTCAGTCTGTTGTTATTCTTTCTATGTCGCCTCAATCCATGACAGTTTGCAGCAAATGGTAAGAATATTATTCTGCAAGCGGTGCGGAATCCCCACGTGTGTGTTTGTCTACACGAGGGTGCAGGGACGGACAGGACTAGATAAATGTGTACGTCTTTGTACAACGGCATCTGGTCGTAGCTCTTAGGATCTTAGTTTCTACGCAAGAGGCACCCGTCCGCGTACAAATATCAACGAAGTCGTCACTTGGCAAAAGGGCACTCTATTTTGTTGGAGAATGCTATGGTGCTTCTATACATGAAGCTGAATCGGTTTGCATTCATTTAAGAACGATCGTAGTCAACAATACGTAATTTAAAGTACACTTAGATGGATAAGTACCGCCAAGTATGTGTTTTTCTTGAAAGCTACAAATTTTTTGCCCATCTACCACGCAAATGCACACGTTTCTGTTTTAAGGCAACCTCTTTCCCATACCTAATATATATCCCATATAATAATAATGTATCGACAGTTCTTTGCCAGCTAAACAATTACGTATCAATAAGTCCTCATTGAGTTAAAGCGAACAATTGACAGAATTCTTTTAATTAAATATAACTATCTGGCTGATAGTTTCAGCAACATACGGGAAGGTCTGTTTCGGATTGTCACACCATAGAATAGAGTAGAATAAGAAACTACGTGGTAAAGCTTCCATTGTGATGATGTTGTTACAGGTATTGCTAAAGAACAGCTCTGTAATTGAACTGTCATCCATATGGATTAGTGTTGACTTCTTTGCCTTTGTCACATGCCCTATGTAGGTCGATAATTTGTCAGCCTACTACTAAAGACCTGTTCGTTTGCAATGAATCGTTAGTTGTAATTGTAGAAAAGAATGAACTAATCCCTTTTGACATTACGCTGTCGTATCGCTATAACATTAGAAACTTTACGTTCTACTATGACTGCCATCTTCGTACTAGGCCACGTTAGGTCATCAGTTGTCCTGTAGCCACTTGTTGCCAACGTAACGATCTGGCACACGTTTCTTTATAGTGTACAGAAGTTCAAAGTAAGGTTTTTCCATTGTGACTTGATGGGCTGCACGTATGAACATAGTGACATAAGGATTTCATCACATATTTTCCCATACAGGGTTTCGCAGTCGTATTCGCTTACTTAAAGTATAGGCTAAGCGGCACCCCGGTCGGCAAGTGACTGTTAATCCATTGATGAACTAATATAATGACAAACCTGACAGTCCTACGATGCAAAAAAAAACACACATAATAGTATGCCCTTTTCAATTTGTCAGATTATAGCGCGTTTTTCGCCACCGTACAGAATAGCTTCGAAAACATTTTTATATGCCTACAACGTGACGGGCGTCATATTCGTATCATGTAATGCTTGCTAAATGCTGCCTAGAATAGCATCGAACTGAATTGAAGCGGGTACAAAATCGCTGTTTTAACCAGACTTGTATTGGCCGTACTTTGGTATTTTTATACACTTTTTCAGGTGTGTATTTATCGAACAAAAGCGTTTATATCGAGTAAAATATCACATTGCCTATCTATTTTTCTCTGTTGTCAACAGACTGATTACTCGAACTTCAGATCAAAGAAAGGGATTGGTCGATAACGCCGGTGGTACACGCGTTCGTCCACTTTTGATACTCGTTTACCTTTTTTTCCTTTCAGGATAGACCGACTCCCCGTGATTACGGAAAATAATAACAATTATTATTATTGTCCTATAGCCGACGATATTGAGAAACATACTTTTCTCACTAAACGTTTGACGAAAACGTAAACATTACTTAGTAGCCCATACACCATCCTCCTTCTGGTCCATATCGTGTTTGTTCCGATCCCATTTTTTTAACTCATTGAATACAAGAAGCGCGCTCTCACCCGATATATTGTACATGCTAACGCCCATTGTGACCACACCCGTAACAGAATTAGCCTAACCCAGTCGAGGAAGCCGGTTCAACTTAACGAGCGGACGCCAGCGCTTAAATTGTACTAACAACTTGACTAGTGAAGAAGGCAAGTGCCTTATATCGTTTTATGTGCTTCCGTACGCAGGTATCAAAGAATCCTTCGTTATTCCAACGACCCGTCCGGCAACAGTTTGATGGGAAGCCGCTTGGTCGAGAATTTTGGCGTCATTACTGTGACATGTGAAATAAATAGTTATAGCTTATTGAGTCCTATGCAGGTTTAAATGGCTGCCCTGTTTGTTTTCCTCCTAGCCAGCGTGGTTTAGGGAGCTTCGCAAAACTCCTCAACCGTTTCCTTCCTGAACAGTGTAGGGTTACTATAAGCAAGCGTAACGTATATATAGCGTATAAGTTCATATAAGCCGAGCATACACAGCTCGTTCATGGCGACTAATCGCAGAAAGCCTTGTTGAGGAGGTGTCGAAAGCGATCAGACAACAGACCGGTCTACGCATCAGCATTACGAAACATTTCTACACAGTTTATGCATCAATTTAAAATGACCACTTCCCAAAATTTGTCAAGATGTCATTTTCGACAAGGCGGAAAGAAAGCTGGACATGTCGCGTGCGTATAAAAGCGTCATTTAAATTAAGCTGAGGCCATTAGATCTGCCTGTGAGTCAGACATAAATTAATTTCATCTTGCAGATCGCTTAAGGCGAAAGGGCACGCCCATAACCACGTGTGCCATGAGAAAATACACTTGAGGTTATTTACATACAACCAGCTATTGGGAAAAATCATAATAACAAGCTTATGGCAGGCAATTGGTAATGATACGCTGGTTTATCTTCTAGTAAATTTTTGGGATATCTAGATCTATTACTAACCGTTATGTTTATTCTGACTTAGTCCTTAGAACGGAACCCAGTCAGACAAAGTGTTCAATGCTTTCCAGTTAGGCTGAATACAGTGTTATCGTAAAGGTTCCTTCTGTGTCTTGTTGAAACGAGGACATAAATGACCTTATGTTGAAAAGATGTCTATGTCAAACCGGTATTATATCTATGCTATATAGGCAACAATCAATTTTCACATTCTGCGAGCGACTCTGGAAAACATTTTAATGCAATCATCTATTTCTAATGTTTTAAATAGTACCTTAACTTATCATCGACATAACTCAATCATCTCTCAAGAGGCGAATCCATAAAGTGTAACGTAATCGCAACGAAGATGCGTTGTAATGTACAGTCATATGTATTTATCAAAATCAGCGAAAAATCATACACTTGCATACATGGTTGTCCATATTTGCCTCTGGTAAACTGCCTTCGGTATACGCAGCGCAACGCAACAGGCCAACGGTACTCTTCGTAGCTAGGCCTTGACGAATTTGCCGCACAGCTAGGCATTGTTTGTAATTTATATGTACATACACATCTCGTTGGCTTTGTAAGAGGAATTTGGAAAATCTGTCAGACGCTTAGCGATGATACTAGGGAGCAATGAGCGACATAATATCTACGGCGACTTTCTCTGCATTCGGACGACCTATATGAATTGATAGACTCGTAAAAGCCCGATTTCCTGTAGAGTCTATGGTGGAACCCACGCATGGCATGGCAAAGCGACTAACTAACGATGTCTGTTTGTTCTGTTTACTCTTGTTTCTCATCGCACCGAAAGCAATTCTATGTCAACGAACCAATATGTATAACAGGTACGTTCATTATTTACTAGGCCGTACCCACTGCGCATAGTATCAATAAGATCATCAACAATAGTTGAAATAGTGGCGGCAGATACTCGACACATGATCACCAGACAGTAGTGACTTAGCAAATCAGCCCAAATACCGACTGCCCACAGACACCCCCGCCATAGTTGTAGCTGATGATTTGCTCCGTTAGTATATTCACGAAGAGAAAGAAGATCGGGGATCAGGCGTCGAATGCTTGCGGTCTGAAGGGGATGGCCGGGCATCGGGAGAGAACAAGCCGCCGATTCAGCTGCTTCATGAATTCAAGCACAACGCACAGGCCTCCTTTCCACCACCACATTAACTTCGCATGCAGCGTTGTGGTAAGGAAAAGATGGTCAGTTTTGTTTTACCACATGCTGTCCCTCGGGGACATTTCGGTGGCTCGCTTCACTAAATCAACATAACAGGTGAAGACGCTTTAGTAAACAACCGACAACCTCTGTTCGGGGGTCGACCAGCCAACGACGCACACTCAGCGGTCGGAAAGATTCACCTTACATTGGGTAGCAGAAACGTGGGTAATTTGTTCACGTTAGTTGTTAATTTTATACTAGCACATGTTGGATAACATCTATGCTGAACAAACCCACACATTGTGTATTGTAGGAACTAAGTACCGACGTCCACCGGAAAGAGGCGATCGTCTTAGAACGCGGACTGTCTGGTTTTAATAGAGGATTTGGTAGCGAAAAGTTGAACGGCAATCAAGTGCTAACGTGTAGTTGATGTGAGCCATCTGCAGTACGTTGATTATTCGAGTGCTGATTACTGTTTCATTCTGGAATACGATTTTTTATCCGGATTAGGCCTGTGCCACACCCGGACCTTCATTATTGTGAAGCTTTGTGCAGGTTCAATCAAGTTTACGTAAGTACATAATTAAGCGTGTACTTTTGATGCTTTTTGGCCTGTAAATCGGCCCGTCGTGTGAATATCGCTTGCAGAGAATCGCCAGAATTAGTAACAGTTTGACCTTACGCACGAAGACATACATGGTGTGCCTTCACTGCTTGGCGCGCGCGTAATTTTTCTCAAAAAATCCGATATCTAAACTGACGATTTAGAAGCATACACGTCTACAAATTTCGTCTGGTTGATCTGGTCAAGATCGTGTGATCGAGTCCGACAGTCCCAAGCATCGTGAGCGCTATTCATTGTTCTGCTGCAGAAGCGAGAGCCTCACCTGTATCGTAAAAAAAAAAATAGGTTTTCGCTCCTAGCGGCATCAATCTTGAACATTCTTTCTATTATCTCTGATAGTCCTCGTACTGTGCCATTGTAACAAGTGGGCAAAACGACAACTCCTTTTCATGTAAAACGTATTTATTGCTCTTGCTTACTCTTTTTTTTTTCTGGTGTAAATTAAAAGCTAGTTTATATGAACTTTTACGTTAGCCAGATGCAAAATAATAACCGTCTTCAATTTCACTAATGGTTATACTTTACCCCTGACAATGTCCGCATCACGCCAGCGCACAAAGTCAGGGTCTGCATAGTGAAGCCTGAATGTTAAAATTTCAACAACTTGCGTCGTTGGTAGCCAACGAACGTCCTGTTCACTAATGATTCGTTAGATCGCCGAATCTATTCACTGTAGGAGCTTTTCCCGCGCAGTATGAGGCGTTATTTCATTATAAAAAAAAAAAAAACTGTATACGTTTAAGAGAGACCATTTTGAAACAGTTGCTAATGAATGCAAAACGAATATCATGTATACAAGGTTGATAAGCCCCGTGTGGTACCAGGAGTGGACGCCGACTAGCGTCCCGGTAACCTGCGTATTCTAAGAAAAGAGGCCTCTTATAAGGTCAAAATACCCACACTATGCATGAAAAGCTACTATAGGCCTTCCAGCAATTTTTAAAGTTCTATATCACCTATATGGTATAGAAGATCAGAGATAAGCTCTAAAGGAAACTAACTAATTCGACGCATACAAACGCTGATATGCCACGACTAACATTGCTATCATAGCATGTCACCTGGTATCGTGAAGGACTTCAAACAAAATGAAATGTTTTCGGTTTCAATTCAGCAACGGGCCTTTACCGTTCGCAAGGCAGGATCACTTTGACCAAATTTGATTGCGGCTGATTAATAGTAACACCTGAAATGTATTGTGTGAGAGTGGGATGCAATGAAGGACCATGTTGCTAAAGCAAGGCTGCAATACGTCAAGGGTCGTGTCAGATTTTTCAGAATTGCCTTTCGTTTGCATTAATCGTACATTGCGGTGTCATCGGCTTGCACGAAGGCGGATTCACTACACGGATGGCACTTTTTGCTTTTTTCTCCCGTGCGAACGGAAGACAAACTCATTGTTTTCCTTCATAGATCGTAAATAGCGAATCATAAGCCCGATAAAATTATCTATCTTTTCACCTACTCTTAGAAATTTCTATTCTTAGCCATTTGCGTAAAATCATCGCCATGCCATCTTGACTGTTTACACGATACGGATGGTATGGATCGTGTGCCCATAGCGTTGGCTATTTCAATACTTTGTTCCATATGAATAGACACTAAGAAAGGTATCAAGCCTTATCTCAGTATCAGACCCAATGTGCGTTGAGCTTTATTGACAACGATGCTAAGGATCACACTCGAAAATATAGGCGGTTCACTAAATTTTTCCTGTATTAGTCATATGATAGTTTAGTAAGATGTGTTATTTAAGATTTAGAATGAAAATCGTAACAAGGTTATTGCAAAAAAACAAGTTTTGAAGAATCATTACCCCATACAAGGGCTAATATTACGTTATTTATAGCTATTTATTATCGATATCGAGCACTGTAATAAATGCTAACGGTTCTAGATATTAGCAGTGTGACCACTATAAGAGACCCACCGAGAGGACCTGTGTCTGCTCCCTTTTAGGTATCACCACGATCGACCATCGGTATGAGCCGGCTTGGGCTGAAGCTTACCGTAGCATTGCTAGCGTTACTAGCTCTGCTCATCGCAGACCCAGCAGATGCTGATATTCATAAAAAAATTTTCAAGATCGGGCTCAAAACTTTAAAAAAAGCACCTGTTTTTCCGTTTGTACTTCCGTTACCGCTACCATCGGTATGTTCAGTTTAACATGACTTTGATTAGCAACTATTATTTTCTAAGATCAAGAGAAATTAAGTTAGTTAATTTCTGCGTCTTACAAGTTTACCTTTACATAAGATGGATATTCGACTCGTTTTTTTAACAGGGTTAAGCCTTAACTCTAGAAATGACCAGATGCTATTTAATAGCATTGCTTCGTAGACGTACGAATTACACCTTATTTTGATAATGTGATGTTAAAGGCACCCAAAATTAGCAATACTGATGCAATTTATTGCATCTCGAAGGGTCTTGCCACATTTAGTTCCAGTAGTATGAAGAAGGATCATTTTCTGCAGTCATACCGAAGTCGGAAACAGCTCCGGGACTGGTAATGATCAACACCTAGGTTAAACGTTTTCTGTGCTCTAGCAGTAAATGACATAAACGTTTTGTGCTTTCTTTCAGCATCTACCAAAGCTTCCGCAGCCTCATAAATCGGTCTGGGTCTCTCACGGCCGCATCAATGAACTCGATGCGGAGAAGCTGGCTTGGAAGCTCGAGAAAGAATACCATAAGTACGTGAGTCTCGTCGAAGGTCTTCAGACTAAATGGCCGAAACACAAATAGTAACGTACATTTGCCGTGCGTCTGCCACTCACCAATGATCTATGTTTATCAGCGACAGTGTGTGACGATTCACTGTAGGTGTTTCTCAGATTCAGCATTACAGCAGCCTCCTAAAGACTGTGTCCGTTGTCTACGCTAACGGGGCGCGTACTTTCTCTAAAAAATATCATAACATCTATGGCGGACTACGGGCAACAGACAGCCTCTATCGAGTCATGTGAAAACGAATATACGCATCTATAAATAGGTTGTGTAGCAAATAATCGTAGCGACTAAATATAATCAGCTCCAATGAACTTGTTCAGAAATTTCTTGCGGATTGCAACCGGATCAGATAGACGATCGAGCCGGTTATTCGGATCAACGTTCTGCTCATAGGATCGCCAATGTTTTTGTGTGTGTTCATTAATCCATCTGCATGTATCTCATACAATCCAAGTGCCATAGGTCGGGTCAGTCGTTCTTTTTTGTCGTGACACAGCCTACCCCCACGCCATCTATTATCATCCTATGCACTACCCCTACCAATATTGAGATGCTCCTGCAAGTAGCACCAGGAAGCTACGCCTTCCGCGTCATTTATTCAGCGCATTGAAAAGGTAAACTTCGGCGATATTCTAATATCGCATGAGGGCAGATACCATGCTTCTTGTGCTTGTGCTGCTACTACTGATTCAAAAATAGGTATCGGGTTCTTATCGTGTAGCAACCGCTGCCGACGCTTATACGACAACAGTTACCACTGCTGCTATCAGGCTTGATAAAACGCCTATCAAAATAACCAGTTGCTAGCTAGACTCCAGCTGTTGTTAGCCTACGATTGCGTGGTCCACTTTGAGCTGGTGAGGAAAGCCGGTAAAGATTTAATGGTTAAAATGGTGAAGGAGACAGTGACGGCGGCGATGAAAATGATGATCAGACAATGACGCTTCACGGGTATTAATTACGAGGAGTCAAAGAAGCATGAGAGAACTTGAAGCACTGTGACGCCCATAGCGAGTGGTGACCCGAGGATAAAAGGAGGATTTCGACCAGCTGAAGGTTAACTACGATCATTGGCCATAGCAACCTCTAAAGGGAGTGCACGCAAGCGCGTTATGTGCTCGTGAGTTTGTCTGACCTTGTGTGCCATAGCGTTATTGTTCTCACTGTGAGACGAGAGTGAAGGAAGAAGACCATGATCCACCAACTCAATACACAACGGGAAATAACCGATTGACTCTACTGAATGTTGTAGCACTGATGATTCATAGTGGTTATGTTTAATAAAGTATATAATATATTAAAACAAAATATCCCGTTTTAATAATTTCGCCAACAATAAATAATTAAGTCTATTTCTCTCGGGGGCATGGTAAACTTGCTGTTCAACACTCGCATAAGATTTTGTTAAGAAGCAACTGAAGAACAACTGTTTTCGTTCACCATCACACATGAACTTTTTCTGAAATTGTACAAAAACCTCACTGGACTGATTTGTGGGGACGACCCTTTTCCATTGAAGTGCACAGAGAGGTCCTTTTCCAGTGAAGCTTTAACAGCGGAGCCAGCAATACAATTAAAACAGAAGATCAGTGTTACTTCTTCATGCCAGATATGGCTAAAATCAGTTCTCTTTCAGAGTTACAACCTGACTAGGTCTAACTAACACCGTCGTGTCATAATAAATAAAATAGAAGTGCCAGATCAGTCTAAAACGTTTGGCGTCTGTTAAAGTTCTCATCACCCCCAAAAACCATTTAAATTGTATTTAACTACTAACGTTTAATTAGTAACTATTACTAAATAGTAAAAATTACATTTAAATATTAAGAAGTCATCTAAAAATACGAAGCAATGCGTTGCTTAGGTTTTATAGTTATTAATATACAAGCATACACACAATATACAAGCATATCATTCAATATATATCACCATACATTGTTGTTATTATATTATTTGTTGTATATATTATTGTTAAATGGTATATATATATTATTGTTATTCACCTAGTTAATATATATGGTCTCAGTGGCTCTCGAAGCGTGTTTAGATATTCAACCTCTCGAAGTCCACTAATGGCCTTAACAAAACTGATTCTTTTCGCATCTGGTCCTGATGCTGCGAATACACGCTTCCATTGTCGCCTTTGGTGTAAATTTAGGCGAAGATAAAAAAGATGTGATCTAACTAGTAACGGTAGCCAGGCCTTCCTTGTAGGAGCCGCATGTGCGGCCATCGGACATGCAAAGCGCTAGATCAAATTAACGGTCGGTCGTGATGGTGCGCTTCTCTTTGTTATCTATACAAAACCTCAGAACAGTGCACATACAAAGCCTAAAAACCGCGAGACTGAAGTCCTGAAGTTTACTATTGAAACCGATGTTTTTAATGCTAAAGTCACTGAAAGCCGTATTAACTACCGAATTCGTAATTTTAACAATGTCAGTTTGTATAGGCCCAGGTCTAGGCAGAACGCCTAACTTCCAAAACGACCAGACCCTGACACCGGAATTGCATCAAAAGCAGAGGCAAAAGCTATCATAGCTTTTGAAGGGCTTAAATGCCCATTTTCCCTAACTTCAAGTTGAAGGTTATTAAGATGGCCGCGCGTTCGAGCTAGGGTTTAGCTGTCGCTCTAAACCTGTTGGATGCTTTTTGAAAATAAAGATATATTATTTATTTGTGCACTGCATTTGCATGCTATCCATTGTCTAGCAACGCTCTGGGCCATATAGCCAGAACTGTGTACAGCGAAACTGTTTTCCAGGACAATAATAGGTTTTGCACAATAGACTACTAGGCCACCAGTGTAAAACGGCTGAGCGTAGTGTCAATTCTTTCGTACACGATTTAAGTATATCATACAACGAAACGGTATAATATAGAGAATGTGTCATGCTTTTATTTTAAATTCCCTGTGGGGCGATTTCAGTGAGGCGGGGTTTAATAAAGACGGCGAGAAAGACTGTAGAACTTTTGTTTTGAAACTGGAAAGCGTTTTGCGGGTATAGTAAAAAACGGACGTAATATGACTAATAATAATACGCGCATGTTTGTTACAAAGTCTTTTAAGTGAGAAGAACTTCCTTGTATTTTTACACTGACTCCTTTATGTCCATCATAGTAGGTTAAAGTATATTCAACTTAATCAAGTATAGATACGTATCATACTTTGGGTTTTAATAGCAAATGAAATAAAGAAGAGGTCAAAAATGCAACGTCTGGAATATCTATCCTTGGAGATAGAATTCGATATAAAACATTACGCTGGCCCGCATAATCTCTAGCTAAGGCTTCTTCGCAAGTCATACAATGTTTCGTCTGAAAGAAAGGCAAAAACCGCCAGAGCTCGTTTAACAAGCTAATTATTGTCAATTAAAGCCAAGGCCATTAACTTAAGAGGAGAGAAAAGTTTAAAACTTGTGAACCTCTATGTAATATACAGCGCTTAATTTACTAAGCGTTGCGAGCACCTGAGTTAAAATGGAGAGTGCCGATGTGGCCACGCGGTGTCCCCTATGTCTGCATAGTAGACGTAAAGCCTCGCTTTTACTACGAGAACTTCTCTTCAAATCAGCACCAATTTTTTGTAAAAATTACTTTAAATGGAACGATTATGAATACCACCATTGAACGACGTAATCTCATTCATCGTTGTATTTATTGTGGTATTTTACTAAATAGGCTTCTATCGTAAAGCAAAGATTATGGTTTGAAAGTAATCAAGTTTCTCATTTTTGGCGTCGCTTCCTTGCCGTTGGTGGACCATTTTTTCGTTTTTAATGCAAATCTAGATCAGACGGCTATAGCCCAGTTACCGTAGTAGTTTCCGCTGGTCTTCTAGATAAGTGCAGTATTGAGCCACTTCAACTACAACGGAACAGTTACTACGCGTGATGGTGTATTTATCTAATTTTATTATATTATTAGTGAGCTTCGTCTTTTCTAGATTATCTCAACTTTGTGTTATTTTTGAACGTTATTCCATAGGAATTGCAAAATTTCCGCTTCTAGAGTTATTTTAACCTATCTAGAGCCAACTGCGTTGGTCGCTCTCCTGCAACAGGGGGCAAGGTACAGTCATATGAATGTCAATGAAATATACAGTTATACAGATAGGAAAAATAGCTGACCTTTATGTAACATGTAAATATTGAAAAGTAAAGTATTGCTTAAAATGACCGCTGGAAGCGAAGGACTTTTCGCCGAAGTTCGCTTTCGTGTGCCGGAGTCGGCTAGAAGAAAAAGTAACAATGACCAATAGTGAAGCTTCTACGATCATGTCAATGGACAACCGATTGTTTTAGACTGCCAAGCCTTTGTAATAGGATGTAGCTTTACATAAATCAAGATAAAAATGAAGATATTTACGCCCATTTCATTACAAATATGGTAGATATTTCTAGCTTGTTCTTGGACGTTGTTATCTTAGCTTGATACGTAGCATCTGGAACGTCCTTCTTTGACCTGCAAGGCTCGAAATCAATGGCCAGTGTCATACTGTGTAACGCGTTTGTCGCACATATAAATAGCATATATAGCGGAAAAATGCAACCGTACTATACTGTTCTTTAACTAGGTCGGGATCATTCAGTGCTCACCACTTTCCCTATCACTATCTAAATGAGTCAGCCTCGATCGTTAACAAAGTTCCAAAATAGAAATTTAGATGGCAAACTTCTTAGCCAATGGACTATTTGTAACAGCTATTAACACAGCTTAATGTAGCCAACCGATACATCAATGAAAGGTTCGGGAAGGACACCAACACACCAATCTCCAAAAGTACAATATATAGCCATGATGGTCATGTATTGCGGGAACGATTCAGTCCTGCGATTTAAAAAAGCCACCTCATGTTCACAACAACTTTTGAAATAGGCCCTGTCTATCTATACGCGCAATTAGCACACAAATAAGAATATAAGGCCATCACACAGGGACACATCGCACAACTCGATCTATACATGTAAAGGCGACGTCTCTAGTTATTGAGCCATTATTTCAATATATATATCTACTTCATCTATGGAACGGGTTGGGCGACTGGTGGACCGGTTGTCTTTAGCGTTCCATGCTGATTCTGTGCGCCTCCACACACCAATTGCGTTCACCAGTTCGCCACTAGCAGCGCTCCGTCAGTAAATACTGCCTAGCACTTGCGGGCGGCAAACGAAGCCATACTCCTTCAATTGCGTCTGATTATTATTCGTACAATGGCGGCTATCGCCACAGCTGGTGCAGACGAACTTCGAGCACTCGATTGAGCAAACGTCTCTAATACTTGACCTTACACGCGCATTTGCTCGGTGGCCGATCTGACAGGACTAGATCAACTGATCCACGGGCATCTCGTCGTCCATCTGGTACCTGAAGAAGGCGCTTTCTTTCAAATAATGCTGTACTGTCTACTGCTTTCGGGACAAACACGTTTGTTTACTTATTCATCTTTCATTTCATCTTTGCAGTCGTCTTGCGGCCCGACGGTATCGACCCTCGCAACTTAGCTGCCGGAACTAAAATTCGGGAATAGAAATGACTAATATTTACTAGAGACTATGCCTGCAGAATTATTCCTTAGGGGCGTTACTGTCGACGGCGACCTTCAATTCGAGCACAGCTCCGTGTATTATCAGACATTTTCCAATACTTATCATATTACGAAATATGGGACACGCATGGGACAAAGGTCTTATGTCGAGCCGATTGTAACGATCCATATTGCGTATCTACTGCGCGTTACTGCGAATCGAATCCAAGTCAAACGCAAAAAAAGTAGACCGTATAAGTTCAGATTAAATAGAAGGGAGTACGAATGGCACCCGGCGTCAAAAATTAGCATAGGGCAAAGCAGTTGGCTTTTGCCACACATCCACCTGCCGTTGCTAAAGAGGATGGGTATCGAACCGTACAAGAAAATGCCACACGAGCATTATCATGATAAGCGCCGAACGCAAGGTCTTGTCCTGCCACGCATACTTCCCTTCACATGCAGCTGCTTGCTTCGCTCATCGGTTGACGTGGCCTTCCTTGACGTGAACACACATGCGCATTGTCTTTTCCTTCATTTGCTGACTTCACGCTGCCTCTTGTCTGCCTACGGTAGGTAAGAGGCTGTATATGAAAAAACTACCTGTCTTGCGAACGAAACACTGCGGCTCGGGCCAGCCGATCGTCTTCATTCAGTAGCTATTGTTGATTCGACCGCTGTCACCACAGCTGCCACAACTACGGGCTCATAGACTTATATATTTAATGATTGTGCTTCTGATGATCACTGTAAAGCTCCAGGATCAGCCCTCACCGGGATATCGGGCGTAGCCCTGACTCGTTGTCGTTCCTACCGGCCGCGTTTTCCTGAGCCTTTTACGACAGCCGGTAGAGGCATCGCGTGGGGATTGTCGTTGAAGTTCGTCGCGATAAAACTGACGATCTGATTAAAGCCAAGTAACGACAGAGATAAAGCGAAGCATAACAGTTGTTTTTTACCAAGTAGATATCCACAAATGCATCGACTGCCGCAGTGTCAAAAAGTGTCTAATCCTAGAACGGTTCATGAAGATATAGCGGATTTAGTTTGGAGATACTAGCAGACGATATAAACCATTTCGTATTTTTTTTTCTTACATTTTCCTTTAAGCTGAGGAAACACAACTTATGAAGGCTCTATGATATTTTTTGACGCATATGGCCATAAGGGCGATATTGGAGTATTTATTGTGTTTAGGTCAACCCAAATTTGATGGGCTTGTCAACACTCAACAAAAAATGATAAAAATATGCGCAAACAAATGATGACAAGATGGAAGTTAACAGTTGCGCTCTTAGCAAGTGTATCATCATTACGACAACAATAACACTTTAAAATCGCCGGATGTGAGATCGCGGTTCCAAACGTATCAGCGGGCTTTCCTCAAGCCTGACCCTGCTCTTCTAGATTCCTATGCGTTGATGAATAGTCTGTGTAACATTGGTTCGAGTGGCCCCTTTGCCAACTGCAGGCAACGTCTAAACATACAACACCATTTTTAATATAAAACGATATAGCTTTATTTTCACTTCTGTTTGCTTTGAATTGCGTCCGGGTCTGCTTTACAAACCGTTTAGATAACTATATCGTCCAGTGGCGGTACGATCTTTCCTTAGTCATATAATTTAACTAATAACCGTAATAAAACTCAAATAATAACCAAGTGATCGTCATTGACTATTGGCGCCGCAGTGGCTTTATTTTCAATGTGCCCTTTTCTCTCCAGGTGCAATTCTCGGCCCCTTCTAACGTAGAATGACAGCGCCACATATATCAGCACTGCTATAACAATACTAATCATAATAATGTTATTTTGGTTGCTTATGGACAACTAGCCGCAAAACGCTTCGATTTGCCTGATGAATGATATATATTAGCCGGCACGAAAAGATTTTCTGTCGCTTTTTTTCCTTTCTTCGCCATGTTTGCCGCTTCTCTTGCCATATTCTATCCATGGTATTCGTGTTTAGGTGAAGCGACCGTAACAAGAATAGCCGGTCGTGGCATGCGTCCACTTCAAACAATGGTCAGTTGAGGCTAGCTTCGAAATCATACGGCTCAACGCTCTGTATCGTTATCATCACCCATCTGAAGTCATAAATGTCGCCAACTTTTGAGACTCTCGTAGGTCCTACTACGAGAGGCTAATCCGTTTCTTTGCTGGATACAACAGAAGACTCCTTGTCTGAAAAAGGTGAAACGGTTGTTCCTTTTAGCCCTGACTGAGAATAGGAAAATAAAAAAGCTGTCATTTCGTATTTCTATTTTTGCTACTTCGAATAAAGTGTTCTGCAAAATATTTGTCCTATTGTCGAATTTGACCACCACGACGTTAATACGGAAAGATAGTCGATGTGTAGATCAACTTTGAGCTTTGTATTTGAAACTGAGCTAGAAGTACGCCTTGTTTCTTTGCTTGTTTCATATGGAAGATACTTCGCTGATGGATCAATTATTTAAGCGCTTCGTTCACCAAACCCTGTTCAAAGGCTGTTTAATATATTGAGTTTGCCAATACAGTTTATACGAGAAAAAAGGTCTGTTGCAGCATGAAACTGTTCGACCGACTTCAACTTCAGTTTCTACTTCAAATTGGATACAAGTAATTCTATGTAGGAGAACGCTATTCTGTTTGCTCGGCTGATTCGATGTTGTAAAACGCCAAATAGGCAACCATACGTCGGCCGGAGAGGACTTTCAAATACAGCCTACAAAATTAGTAGACAAGCGCAAACAAGATGTCAGCGCCATAGTAAAATGCCTATTTTGATCAAGCCAGATCATATTTAGAGATCAATGAGTAAATAGATTTTGTCCAGAGCTATAAATCACACTGCCATATCTAAAGTCAAAGATGCTATTCGAGAGATCTTCATTGAGTTCATAGTGTAGGACACAGGCCAGGTATTACAAATGGACGAAGACGATACTGATACGATCTGCCATGTCACACGTGAGTACTTCGCTAACAAAACCGGGTTCATTATACCTAAATATTATTATTAATTATTATATTATATTATAAATAAAGCATAGCGTCACGTCAGAGTTAAGGCATACACTCCGCATTTTTGTACAACAATAGAAGGCCTAAGTAAATTAAAAAAAAAAACAATTCGATTAATTAGCAATTTTCATGTTTGTTGATGCTGTTTAGAAGAAAAAAATAATGGAAAGGATTTTCCATTAGGTTAGATGTCCTCTACCAACGCTTTTTCTTGTTAGTTTGAGAGTAGATACCTTTACAATGGCTCGACATGTCGAGCATGTGGAAAACTCGTTATCACGGGAATTACGGTTACGCAGCAAGTCAATAGTAAATAAAGTGCACTAAAGAATCACGACTTTTCCAAAGGACAATTATACGAAGCAAGCTATGTTTCGTGTTGGCTTTACAGGATCGCGTTGCTAGGTGACGCTGCAAAAAGGTTTACTGTTGAGTTACGAGCACGAGTGGTAAGGATCTGCATTGATTTTTCCTTACCTCTACATAATTACTGAAGTGTTCATCAAATGTTTGAATCACAACAAAGCGTTAAGCAACGCCGCCTTAGCCCAAAAAATCAACAGAAAATTCACTGCTAATGAATTACTATGCTACCCTAGCGGAGATAAGTAAAACATGATGATTAACCTAAGTGCCCCTGAATATGTCTAAAAATAACCGATCACTTTTTATGGGAAGTTGAAGTCCATATGTAGAGACGGTGTCTACCATTTACTTCGCTAGTAGTTCTAAACGATAAAGTAACTGTAGCAAGAATGAAATCGAGATTGGACAAAAAGTCAGTACAACTTTACATTCAAAGATAAAGAAAGGCCACTTTAGTGTCGCTTTTCCTATGGGCACCCGCTTATCATCAGTTCGGGTTGGGCTTCTCACACGTACGTCTGATGGGCTGAATTAATATCTAGTTATCGCGATGCCTCGCGATAAAACTTCTCTACTGCCTTCTAAGCGACCAGCAGGTTTCTGCCGGTCGTGATTTCATGCTAGGATTCGTCGCTGAATCCACAAGGTTTCTGAGTAATATGCAAAACTTTCTAATGCCTACTTCGGATGCGTGCCTTCGGTGAGAGAATGAGGTTCATGCTTTACCCCGATGGCTGCTATAATCAAAAACCACCTTGACGTCGGTGAGACTGTTGTGCATTTGGCTGTTACGTCGATCGTAGTTGTACTCGAAGCTGAGGTCCTTGATCGAATCGTTCCTTTCGCGAAGCACCGAGGAAGCTTCCGTCAGTCGTTCAAGATTTGGCATAAGTACTTGAACGCCCTGACTTTCAGATGTAACAGGACTATTCGAATCAACCCCCTTTTCTACAGGACAGAGTATCATGTTTAAAAGACGGGCGATAAATAGAGAATATAAAGTAACGAAATAATAAGGTAAAACCCAAGAGAAATAAATTAGCGAACATTGAAAAGGCAGACAACGAAGCACGTTTACGTTGCATAGAGTGTAAAAAAATTAGGGTAATAAAATGTACTCTATTTTGGATTTATTTTGATGTGTATTGATGAGGGGACTATTTTGAATGATGATTATTCGATAGCGGTCGCAACGTAACAATAAGACCGAATAATAAAACATAAGGATTAAAATCTCAGCTCTTGTCTGACCTCTTATGTTCTACATTGGAGGTCGAATAGTCTATGATCATTGAGGTTGGCCTGCGCTCTACAGGAAGTCCAAGGATTGTCATGTTAAGGCTGCCAACGCATTAATGCAATGCAGATAGTGGGCTTCGGAGGGGAAAAACCTCCCTAGCGCTGAAGATGCTATCCCGTTCACGCACCATGTCGTACTTTGCCCAATCAATCCACTTACTCAGTCAGGAACTCAACATACACCTCCATACAATCTAAAGGTTTCTCTAATTATTAATCACGTCTCGGTGTATTTGTTCGACACACAAGAATCGGTATGGTACGGTCTCGTTAGCCATGAAACCAAAACATAGCATTTAATACTACATCTAATAAAATAATTAATAACATCGTCGGTATCTTAAACCAGGAACGGCTGTAGCCAGCGCACCGGCGACACCGGCTATAACTCACGGTCTGAGGCGCTCGTTAGAGCCTGCAAATCTCCAGCTTTATCCGAAGCTGCGCCTTCGTACGCAGGTTCATGTGAGGATTCCTCCGAGAATCGTCCCGCTCCCTTTTCCGCTGCAAAAAGAATATACGTTTTTGCTAATTCTGTTTGCGGTCGTGTTGATATTATGTGTTTCCATCTGTGTAGCAAGGCATATCTCAGTACTGAGGTAGATCCTACTGATGTTACTTGAGGATAAGCGGCGCTTATATTGTGATTCTAAGACATCAATACGTTTTAATTAAAAAACGCTGGAGGGACACGACAAGCTCCAGTGACTTGTGAAGAGCCGTGTTACCTTGGGCTGAATTAAAAATGGCACTTAGGTTAAGAGTCATGAAGGTGGCTTTTCGGCGAAGCGAGTGCGACTAGCAGGCGTGACCCTAAAACAATACCATTGCAACAGCCGAAGAAATCGAAAGTACTATCGAACATTTTTCAGAATACGGCTATCAACGATAAATTGCTAGTTATCAAAAGGATCATTTGAAATATATAAGGAAGTTAATAATTTGAGAACAGCCCAATTTTTAACATGTTATTCACTTGTAGTTCCTCTATCAAAGACAATTTTAGGGCTCTGATCCACTGGGTCCCCCGGCCTCCGGCTTTGTAGGCGGACCCGATGAATAGCACAAAAATATAATGTCACTTTCTTGCGCGAACGTGGTTGGTTTGCAATGGTAAGTGGCTCAGATATTTGCTTTTTTTTTTTTTCTCTTTTATACCTTGCAACATTTCCCTGACCCGCAGAATGTCGGTCTTACTGTGCGGATCCTCTCCGCCGACGTCTTTTTCCTCTGTTGGCGAAATGTCGTCATATGCTGGAGTAGTTTCATCTGAAAACGAAATTTTCGGTTTGCGATGTGATACTTACGAATACCAATGTGGATACATGCGAAGATCTATTTGCAGAAAAAAAGTTCTATTCAGAGTCCACTCGAAACTTGTATTCTTAGGGTATTACGGATTTGAAGCCATTTAAAGATTTATCAAGCCTCAAGCCACGTGAAAGGATTATAGTAAGCCTAATTTATAGATAAGCATTCAGTCTGAGACTTGTACAATTTTTGGTTCTCGTCGGATGTGATCAAAACGCCTTAATTAATTAAAGTCCGATCTAATCAATTAGTGGGCTACTTAGTAATTATAAAAGTCACGACTCGGCATCAGAATAGGTATCGATATGTTCTAATCGTGATATTTTTGTTTTCGACATGTTTGGTAAGGCTTAGCAGGGCATCTTGATCCCGATAGCATACTTTGGGCATTGTTCGCACCGTCTACCTTCAAAACCACTGAGGATAGCAAGAAATTTACAAAGCTTGGGTAAACGGTGCTATTGTCAACTATACGAAATGCATATGAAATCATAAGTGCAGTTAAAAAAACCGTTCTGTAAAAAACAGACTGAAAAACTTAAGAATAGGTGCCTAGGGCTAAGCGGCTCTACTGAAAATCTATAAAAATACATTCGCATAGAGAATGGCTTCGAAGTAATCCAGGCACAAGTTTCCTTCATTGGACTAAGTAGCAAGGAAGCAGTAATCAAATGGGAACGGAACACCTCTACAATTAAGAAGAATACAGCAAGGGAACAATTGACAATGACGCAAAAAGCAGAAAAGGATCCATTCTAAGTTTACGAAAGACTGTGAAGAAAGGTCATAGTTGACATCTATAGGCCTAGAATAAGGTTAATCATAGGTCACTGCCACAAGAAAAGTACAGAAAAGGCACCCACCACACAGCATCGCTTCGATTCTCTCCAAGTCGGCAGATTCCTCTTCTGAAAAATTGAAGATTCTAAGTACATTTACAGGTGGATTAAGAAGCCTGCTACGGATTTTGAGCATCCTACACGGAGGCTGAGTGAATTTTGAATGCCTTAGGTTGATGCACAATAACAACCTAGGGCTGCGTGCCAATGTTGTAAAAGAAGCGCCTCTGTTTTGAATGCTAACTCAACGAAAGAATCGATTGGATCTTCTCGGTAAACTTGCCGCGCAAGGGTGTTTATAACGATTTACCTTGTAGCATTTCTTGGATCCGCTCAATGTCGCTAGCGAGATCTTCAACGATATTCCTGTTTGTTTCTAACGAACCTGATGCTGATGATTTCTCCGTGCTTTTACCGGACCTTCGAGAAGATCCGCTTGGGTCTGTGACGGCAGCATTCAAAATTACAGGGTTATTCTTAATATAACCGAGGTTTTAGCTTGGGGTAAGCTGGGCGCCTCTAGGCAACGATTGCCCCAGCACTGCCATATAAAAATCAAATTGTGCGCCGCCAAGATTGTATAGGCGTAGCTTTTTTCGGCTTAAACTACATTGCGCTAAATAGGTCTTAAACTCGCTGTTTTTTGAGATCATTATTTCGAAGAATGCTGTTTTGCAGAGTGTGATTTTAGTAAGATATTTGCGGCATTCGAATAGAATAGAAGTACCCAAAACACAAGACAAGTGCTACTGAGCAAGCCTATCATACGACTTTATAGCCGGGATCGTTTTTCTAGTTGACTCGTATTTTTGTTAATTATGTACGTGTTTACGAACTCCTACGCAAACCCTCAAATTAAGATGCTTCTAACTCTAGTATGACGTATAAATTCATTTACACTGGGAAGCTCGTTGAGGTCCAGCTGCATCAGTGGCCTTATCCAGGCGTTTATCCTTGACCAGGATAAACGACGCTTCATCTGGAAGAATAGGAAAACAAATTAAAATGCTACAGGGAAACAAATTTTCCTCTCATTAGCGCGCACAAAAATAACTGTTTACAAATCAAAAATTTTGAAAATACATGGATATTTACTTCAGGGTTAGTGGTCAATTGATTGCTGATTGTTATGTCCTATAATTTGCCACAATTAGTCTTTTCATTACTGTTTACCGTCGAGTATTCTTTTAAGCGTATCAATGTCGGGGATGTTTTTATCGGCGAGACTCTCCAATGTAGGGGTGGGCTCGCGCTGCACGTCCGCGTTTACGCATAGCGAACCCGCACACGCCTCTTGCTCTTCTGCGATAAAGCCGACGAGAAATATATAGAAGTGTCAGCACAAATGCGAGTACAGACATTTGAATAATGACTAGGAATAAAATAAGACATATGTGCTCGACGCTAGCCGGCGACAACGGATGCCGTTTCTCGCGATCGAAACTAGATGATCATCTATTCATACCCTTCAGCCATTACTAGCTATCGAGAACAGAGCCTACCTTCGTAATCGCCTCTCAGCGTTAGATACAGCCTAATACAGTCAGACCTAACGCCTGTATATTAGTTAAACATAAATTGATTAAAACTTTAATTGACAGCTCCGATGACCACTTCGCTTTCAGCTTCAAACGTGTTCTAAACGGCTCGAAGCAACTGGGTCGCGAGAAGTGTTTCTAAAAGCAAATTCCTGCAAAGAGTCCAAAGGTTGTCAAGACAAAAAGTGTACAAGCGTAAGCTGCAAGAAGCATCTAATTTAACTAAAAAAATAATTCATGACGATTACCATGTAAAATCTCCCTGAGAATTTCAACATCGCTTTTTTGTCGCGAGAGCATTTTGTCTTGTTCAACAGAATTCTGTCTCGTTGGCGTCGCTCGTATGACCTCTGCAGGTTCTTCGGCTCGAAACTCAACCATTTCGACCATTTCATCACCCTCATCATGCACCGTCTTATTCGAACGCGGTGGTGTTGCAGGCCTATTTTTGTAGGAAACAAAATATTTATGGAAACCGTTAACACCAGGATCATCATCCGTACGTACAGGGGATATGCAAGCGCAAAAGACTGAATAGTATAAGGTCCGCGCATTTCTAAAAGGTGTCATATACGGCAACCCTCCGTCTCACGTACATATAACAAGTCGAACAAACAGAGCTATCAAGTCAGTATATATATATATATGTAATGGTAATCATAATAACCTTCGGTATAGTGAGCCGAAAAATGAATCTGCCACCCTATCTAGATGATGATATTTTCACTACGTCCTAAAATTGAACCTGATATACTGTTTGCTATGATGGCATTTCTTAACGAAACATTGAACGTCTAATCGGCGATCTGTTTTAAAAATTACGTTACGATAGCTTATTCCACACCTGACCTATTCACCGACCTAGGCAATCGCCGAGAGGTCGTCTCTTCATCATCTGTGATTGAGCGCCTATGTAAGCGAGGCAGTCTCTCCGAGTCAAGTTTGAAATTGTGTATTTGTTCAGACGAATCATCGAGGTTAACTTCTTCAGATGCTCCCAACTCGAGATCAATTCCTAATACAAAATATGCTAGAAGCGTGAGCAAGAGTGTTAAAAGAACAGTGAACAATATCGCTTATTTTTGTTAAGCTGAGCACATAAATGGTACCTAGAAGCACGTCTCGTAGCAGGACAATATTGGCTATCTACTAATTAATAAGTACGAACGTTTAAGTTCGCGGTAACTCCTACTCTTTAAATTTCATTACCTTTTTCTTTTAGTTTTCTAAGAATATAGCTATTACAGTTTTTTCTATATTTAATTTCAGTTAATAGAATTAGTTTACGTCCATAATTAATGAGTTTCTACAATCAAAGTAACCCGAAAAGGGAAACCGTCTGAACGATGCGAACGCATTATCTATCTTCAGGACAATCGTAAAAAGGTGACTCATATCAGGAAAGGTATGTACTCTTTAAGATAGTCGATAAAGGTTGTCGCACCATTTCCTGATATCTTCTTTCTTCAAAGAAAGCATATATTTAATTAAATACAGATGTTTCCATCCTTTTGAAGCAATGCTCAACGGCCGTAAAGCTCAAAACATCACTTTACATCTGTATTCACGACGTGAATGAATCGAAAACTATCAGGCTTTAATTTGCACAGTGTCCTTTTGGACCTTGAATATGTGAAACCCTTGAAAAATACACCAGTTTGTTCGGTCCCGTGAACGGCGGAGTGCATTTCGAGGCTGGCTGCTGTGAAGGCAGCGAGCGGCTCTCAGGGTCACAAAAAGGAAAGGGGACACAAAAAGGGAAGCTCACGAACGCACAGGCCTGTACTGTAGGACCCGATCCGCAGGCGACGCCTGGACGTTGCTCTATATTTAAAAGATTTCCTTACAATAATTCTTTGCCAATAACATCAAGCTCGCCCTCACGTCTGTCATGATCTTGATCACGAAAAGACAGTCTGCCACTGTGCACTTTGTCCCTTCCTGGTTTTGGCCTTGACACAGAGAAAAAGCAGTTGGGCATCACCCACGCCTACCCGCATACAAAAGCCATTTGCAGGGTTAGAGGTGGGCCGAAACAATATGGCGCACACTGAGGACGGAGATAGGCAATGCTAAAGGGCTTAGAACACAACAATTAGGAAGCGATAACGAAAAAATTAAAATCGAAGAGATAGATTCATAGCGATCGATAAGAATATAGCTTTAGAACTGGTTATTCTTGTTGTAACTGAGTGATGAATCTTTTCTACCTTTGGCTTGTAGGAGATCGACTGTCTGATTCCAAATATCCTCGATAACGGCGTCAGTCCAGTTAAGGTTGGTAGGTGCGTAAACCTCGCAATCCTTCACGACCTAAATGGCAGTAATAATGGGTGCATTACATTGATAGAAACACCCTTATATATAATTTTCTTTTAGGTTTTGCTTAAATTAAAAATAGAGCTCCCAAGAATACGTAATAGACAGTCAAAAAAATCTTCACGTAGAACTTTTTGATAAAAAAAACGTCTGAAGTTAAACAAAAATAGATAACTGATACAAATACTTCACAGTGTGAACTGTCGCTGCTTTTATACACAGGCAAGAACTCTCATAATTATTGATCGTGATTTTACAGTGGTAACATGTTTGCCTGCTAAACTTAGGCACACGTGAAATCGCCTAGACGTGCAACCGTAGATAGACTGCTCCATTTCACGGAGCGGGCCAGCGGTCTTGACCGAAACGGTAGCGGACGTAAAAGCTGCTAACGTTATTTTACCCTGTGTGGCTGTGATTTATTTATTTTACCATAATGTGTCATTACTGTTTTTATCCACCTATAACAATGCGTCCCAAGAAGCTAAGTAAAAATTCTATCTGTACTACCACTGGCGGACGTTTGTGTAATTCATTTAGCAACAGCCCTATCTACCTTCGTATATCTAAATGTCTCAATAAATATACTTAATTAAAAAATAGAGCAAACATTCAAAATGAACAAGTTCATTAGAAAAAAAAATCGAGTCTTACCATTCCAGAGCTGGCTTGAATGTCCTGTTTGAGGAGAGCATACAACACGCTCTGCATTCCTTCATCAGGCGTGCGGAACATGCACTTAGCAATTAAGGACCACAGCTGCGAACAAACAAGACATGCGGTTAATTAACATGGCTAACTAGCCACAGTGCAATCATAAGAAGAGTTAATTTAATACAGCTTTTTTGCCATCTTTTTTTCAGAAGGAGTTTAAGGTTCCTTTTTGAGATCCAATCGTTTCACGTATGCTTCGCTGCTGTGACGGCTCAGTAGCGTATGAAAAATCTAAACTTCAGCCAACCTGATTTTGCAAAGGGGGAAGATTTTTATAGATGTCTGTGTTCATTAGTCCTGGATCAACGCACAAGGAGCATACATCATGGTAATTGAAGCGACGAGCAATTTCACGGTTCATGAGGTAGAGACCCAATTTCGAAGATCGGTACATGGCTCGCAAATCGTACCCTGAAATATATAATATTTCCCACACGTTTTTGTTACATCGTCTCGGCTAAACGGTCCAACAAAGATATATATCAGTCTAGTAAACAATCGTTGTTCGTGTCTCGAGAAAATGCAGTTACCCAGAAGGATTTAGGTGTTAATAGTTAAGACTTACCACTTTTTTGTTTAGCCTCGAGGTCCCGGAGGTCGTTAAGTGATCCTTTTGTGAAACTCCCACCAGTAATCGAAATGATCCGACCAAGTCCGTTCGGTGTGGTCATAATCTTCTCACGGAGAAGATTGGTCAGCAGGAAATGACCGACGAAGTTGACCCCCATCATGCGGTCTATGCCATCAGCGGTGAAATCGCGATCGCAAATAATTCCTTCACAACAAAGAATATGCCCATTACCCTCACTACACGAATTGAGTTATTACAAAATAACAGATGAGTTAGATCGTATTCAATAACTCAACTTCCATACTTAAATATCGATTTCAACAAACCTTCTACGAGCCACCAATGTGGCGCATGTATCCGCATGTAATGTAAGATTATTTATCAGTTTTACAAATATACGAGATATCGCCGAGGACAATTAGCACAGTCCGCAATTTTCACTATAGTAGTTACTAACCGGCGTTGTTGATTAGGCCGTCAACACGGTCCTCGGTGTCAAGCACTTCCTGTGCAAAAGTTCGAATTGATTCGAGATTGTTTAGGTCCATGTACATAAGACGATGGTTGAAGCTACCAGTTTTTTCTCGTAAGTATACAGCGGTCGATTCCCTTCGGAGGCGTGTACGGCACGCGGAAATCACTTTCGCCCCCCGCAGGCATAACTCGACGGCGATCGCGCGACCCAGTCCGTTCGAACCGCCTAAAAAAATCACGCTGGTTGTTTTGTGGATACGCCCTCCTTTAATGGATCGCAACAATTTGGTCTCAGCAAGTAGCCGGCTATATTCAAGTGCACAATTGTATGTGGTATTATTTCGAAAACAAGGTAAACACCTGCAAACGAATTGATTTATAATCGAGATCACGAACCCTACTTCCATAAGTGTTTTCTTATTGTCATCTAGACAAGCGACAGTTCTGGTAGAGCAAAGAATAATGGCCTTCAGAAACTTTTAATGCAATTGAAAGAATAATAATATTAAACTTTAGTGTCAAAATGTTCGATTCGAGCGATCTCAAAAGCACAAGATATTGCATTTATGCAAATGCCCCCTTGCACAAATTAAATGTTGGGTCGTGCTATTTGCCAGATCATGGTGTGGTGTTCGATAACTCAGGATCGCCCCATTCGGTATTATATTTACCCATTCCTTATTATATTGCTGATATATTATAGGAGATTATAATGCTGGGGGAAACCCTAATCGGGTTACAGCAACCTATACATATAACAGGGTAGTTAAAAGTCAGTTGTTTTCATAATAAGCCATCGCATCAGGCGCATGCTACAAGATCGAGCATTTTAATAGAACAAGAGTCTTCCAATACAGTTTACTCTGTGGAAGTGACTTGACTGTGCGCGTGAACCACCTGAAACTAAATATGGCGATGATTCGTCTCAGTTTTAGGGTAGTATGCAGACGGACTTCTCGTCACTCCATCTTTTCGCGCAGTCCCAACGAGCTTCAGACGACGGCGAGCAAGAAAAATATCAAAATGTATGATAAATAGTTCTGATCTAACGTGAAATATCTTTGAGCACATTGCCGATCCGGCCACTGAACGCATTTGACTACAGCTGTGGGAAAAAGCTCTCCGTACTCTCGGTTTTTAAGAAAATGGTCATCGTTAGATGCTGCGCTAATATAAGAAAAGATAACGATATATTAGATCAGGCTCCGTCATTTCTATGCTAGATGTATCAGTGTGGCTATAGATTTAGATTTCAGAGCCTTTCCCTTGTTCTCACAACAACATGTCGCTCCGTTGAGTCAAGCGTGTCATTGACAAACTATGGCTTCCGAGCACGAGTTCCAACAATTTTGTTCCTGAATAGTTATTTTATTTTTTGTGTATTGCCTCATCATGCACGAAACGTCTCACACCGGTCGTTTGGCATACAGAGGATGCCTCTGCAAAACATCTAAACATTCCGACATTTTGTAATCAATCGTATAAACCTGGTGAAGGTTATCTTTTGATATTAGAGCAGAAAATACTAACTTCACTGACTACGCCAATGTTATCACCTCTCTATACGACGCAGACGGCGCCATTAGCGTAGGTTGTCGTTTATAAATAATTATCTATCGAATGGACAGATGTAATAGATTTTAATGTTATGTGTAATGTATGTTCGACTGTGATCTTGCCCTATTATAATCTGGTACATCATACGTTACTTAATCGTAACTTCGCTAAACATAAGTTACGGCGTAAACTAAATCAATAATACGCTTAATTAGCTAGGCGCAGATATAACTAGGTTTATGCCATGCAGCCAGAACATGATTTCGAAGCAAATCTATATATATTTTATTACTGGTAGAGAAAAATGACACAGAATAATTTACACAGCAACTAGTCCAGTATGCGTCGGGGGTACTGTTGCTGTTCGAGTGGAAAACCTTCTGCACCTAGATGGCGTACGTAGAGGGTGGTTCGGACATATTTGCCGTTGCACGTTCTTGACTTTTGGGTTAATCATTCTGCATCATATGCTATTCAATATGCATGCATCTGTATGTTACAGGCGAACTCCTTCCGAGTAGTTCGGCAGTCGACGGTCACATCTGCCGGTCATTAGTTGGGGGCCTTATCTAAAATTGTTGCCCATTTATATGAAATGTATTGTTGGAAAGTGCGCTGTGTCATACGTAAGTTACACCGTACTATCGGCCGCCCATTATATCGATGAGTATATTTTAAGACTAATAACAATCAATGTAATCGGTCTCACGTTTACTTTCGAGAACTATCTAGCGAAAAAAAAAAAAAAAAAAGAAATAGGTAACATACAACTGATACGGTGTGGATACAACGCATTGCTGCCAGTCTCTACCGTACTATGTGCTCATATTTATACATTAGATACCAAAGTATCGTTTCATCGTATAGCGGCATTTCTTCTACGACGCTACAATTTTTCGTGAATCGGATTTTCGCTAAACAACGGGTTTCACTTGTGCCTGTTTTGATTAACAGCTTTCTAGCGCATAGGAAAATGCGGTCCAGTCTCCAGCTTGCCTTCGAACTTATCAACAGTATGCGGGAATTGGATCAGAACTTAGGACAAAGCTTGTATAAACTACTGTATTAATTCATCTTTCTATAGTGACTGGTATAGGTTAGGTTAGGTTCAAGGGACCTCCTTCAACGAACGTCGACCGTAGTTGCTGCTGGTAACAGTCTTCCATTTCCCTTAAGCCGAATTTGTATTTGTGACAATGGTCGTCACTCTAGCGCTTAGAGATTCTTCCACCCTATCGTCCACTCTATTTTTCAACATTGGACATATGTCTAATATTAGACACCTGGGTAGGTACGTATATATTATTAGAATAAACGCCTGTGCAACACTGCTAGAGTATTCTTACTAACACGGTCAAATAAAACGCTTCTTTACCAAGTGGGCAAATTTTCTCGTTATCTAAAAAGGTTACGATCGTCCATACGAAGCTTTGCCTCACTTCTACCATTGGATCATTTACTCATATTGAATCAAATAGATGTGTCATAATTGAGCTGGCTAAGTTATCGGTTTTACGCACCACGCCTTCTGCCAACGTTCGACCATTTAAAATGGATAGCTTGTCGCCCAGTAGCTCTAAATACAGACAGGGTCAATACAGACAGTTGCTATGAAACAGTGTTTTATGCCATAGACCGCTACCATTTGAACCTGAAGTAACCCTTCTTATGAAAAAAAAAACAATGTAAAGGCAATATTATATAAAGGTAATATATATATCTGTGGCAAAATATACGACATAATATCTAGAAAAAAAACCCAAGCAGACTATTAACGATGCCTGAATCACACGTCGATAGGCGTTCAGAGAAATACTCTGTGTAACATTAGGTGAAATCGTCAACGGTCGTTTCTTATTCGTATCAGTTGTGCGATCTGAGTCACTAGAAAAAAAAAAAAAAACGGTTTTAATCAGTTGTAGATGTTTCTCTGAATTTGGGAAAGCCAAATGAATGCCAAGATAAATTAGTTACTAATAACGTCGTTCAGTAGGTTGCCGTCTACCGCAAACTACGTGATACTCCGACCGGTTGTCTCGACCCATGGCTATACATCTGCATGGTTATCCTGTATTTTTCAAGCGGGACACAGCGGCGTAATGCTGGCTGTTTCCACCCTTTAGCTGATACCTTGTTTCCGAATGGGAGAACCGCGCAGAAGGTTCAAAAGCCAGATTGTCCATATGGTAGCATAGGTTACTATTAGGATTGCAGCACCCATAGAGTCAAATCGAAAAATTTACCGATAAGTGCGCGTTACAGACTGGTGTATCGCTAAGTCAAGATCACTTTACGAATACTAACCTTTAATTCCCTGCTACGTTCACTGACATCTAAAATTCAGCTACGATACAAGTAACAAACAACACTTGGACCACATGAAGTAGTATATTTTTCGGCCAGATAGATCCCGATATTTCAACTTCGCATTTGTCCTACCTAAATGGCAGATCATACAAGTTAAACTAGTAATATTTACTTGCTCGGCACCAAATGGAATCACGGGAGAGATGGACACGTTTATTTATTCATATGTCTACGTACTAGATCAGTAAATTACCTGTTATTATGACCGTCCTGCCATCGAGTCGTTCTTTGCCGTCATAGATCTTTGTCGACCTAATTACTGATTTACAAAAGCAAAGAGCTCCTAGAAACATAACAACCGGCAGAAACAGATAATAAAACCACTCAAGGAACGCCCCGACGCTTCCAATAGATACCACCGTCATCTTGCCAAATGCTTAGAAAGTTCCGCACAAAATTTTTTGGGGTAACTTCTCGTTGAGCAGCTTCCTTAACGGCTTCCAATAGGCATCAATCAAAGTTTCTGAAAACTTACAAAATCGTGTTTACAGAAGTTCGTTCTGACGCCTCTTAATATCCTCGCTTCATAAAAGAACACAAGACACTAACTATTTTTAACGGTAACTTTGTCCATTGTTTTTTGCTTTAGTCAATACAGACGATGGATACGCCACCATTGGGCGTTCCCTGGGTTGCCTTCATGAGAGCGCCGCGCAACCAAAAGCCGAACAGAACACCAGAACTACGAACGGAGTACTCAGGCAGACCAGAACGTTCTCGCTCACCTGAAGCCTCCTCTTTTTGAACTGACAATCTCGCGCCGTTGAAGCGGTAGCGGCTGACCTACACTAGGCCATGACCAAACTCTGTTTTATGGGCATACTCGGTCCGTACTAGGCCACTAGTAGGTTACTGCCGCTGTAGTCGCTAGTGATAGCGGTGGGCAGAAGCAGCCATACTGCCATATCTGTGGGGCCTGCCTATCATGTGCCTATTGGCCTTTCTCGTTTGTCTGCCCTCTTCCGTCAGCCATGCCGCGCCGAGCCCGCGCAAGCAGGAAAGAACTCGTGAAGCCAGAAGTCGTTGCAATGTGCGTTAGGTACATTCTGACGACGTTGTTATCGTTCCGTTCGATGACGAGCGACTATACGGGGCGCTAACCCTCCACCGTCGGTGCGCATTAGGGTTCGGCTGCGTGTACTGAGCACGCCAACCCTCAGGACAGAGGGCAAGTCTGTTATCGTGTATTTCTATATATGATAGGTAGGCATAAATCGCAGGGCCTCAATTCCATTGCTGGTAGTACTAGTGATGTCACCGGTTCATCGAGCACTGCACTATTGCCATAGCACGTACGGCTATTTTCGTTATGTCCGCTAAATTAGTCTGTAAAACATTGATTTATATGCATAGTTCATTCGCGTGAATGGACTTCTTTTCCTCCGCATCTCGGTTATGACTAATTTTCTGGCTGACTGGCAGCAGTCAGAACGTGTCTGCTGCTCGGGTTAGCAATGCTATGTAGGCTTCGTCTACTGGTCGATGGCATAGAAAATATGCTAACACTATTTTGTTAATTAGAGGCGAAATGTAGTTGTTACCATATTAGCTGAATAAAGTCCGGCAACATTTGTTTGTACCAGCTTTTTTTTTTTTTTTTTTTTTGTTTTTAGAAAATGTTTATCGCAGTTTGAACAACATCAAAGTTAGCTACGTTCGTTGTACTAACAACCACTATGTTAATGAAACTACATGGATTTAATATATGAATGAATCGACCTAGGACCCCCCCGTTAGGCACAGCTATGCTGCCTTTAGCTACCTAGCCAAGAAGTGACGTAGACAACTTAAGAAAGCAAGCCAATTCGGCGGCAAAAGGCGACCCCGGCATTATTTGGCTTGGGAAGACTAAGGGTTAGATGCCAACGTGTTCTATAGAGAAAGCATTCACAGCGAGGCGTGAACGTGACAAAAATAGCGCGAGTATTAGTTCATTGAATCTGCTGACATGTTGCCCTTCACAATAAAACAACTTAGAGAGGTAAACATAGGTCTCGCTAATCATTGTTCTATTGTATTGTAGCAAGAAAGGTCGATGTGTTCGCAATACCATGCAAAATGCTTTAAGGATAAATGCATATAATATATATATATATATATATATATATAAACGCTTGCGTTTCACCGACATGACATCAAACAATAACGATACTCTACAGACTATAACTTACGAATAGTAGCAGATTTGTGTGGTAAACTTACCTGAACTCGCCAAGTTTAGCTTGCTAAGTTGGATGATAACGCACAATCGGCAATGAGGCTTTTTTTCTTTTATCAAGAACGTGATAGAAACTTTTTTTCATCATTTTTAATAATCTGCAGCCACAGGTGTTCAGGCGAAGTTCGACACGCCGGTAAAATGGAGATACGTCGACCAATCTTATCTGCATAACACCGATGAGCCGAAGAGAAGCTGCTGATTAAGGATAAGTCGCTAGATGACATTTATCCAATGGATTTGAATGCCTTATCAGAATATTTCTAGAGCATGTAGTTCGAGTATACTTCGATCAACACCAGAGAGATAATCACAAATGTCTGACAGCAGAGTAGGAAAATGTTTTGTCTTCGAGTAGAGTTATTTTTAATGCTTTAAGGCGATTGTAGGAGAAACGGGATGAGAAGCTTCGCCTTGGAGCGGGACTTGGTTGAGCGGTGGAAAGGTCGTCACAAAACGCAGTGGAGTTAAATGTCTTCTTACAAACACGTAGGTAATATTCTTGTCAGTAGACCTTATCTATTCGATAGGCCTTCTTGCATCTGACCCTGAGCCAAACTGTTCATATTCACGCACCTTGCCGTAATTAATACACGAACCGTCGAAGTGACTGTTAAAACTGAGTAACTGCTACGACTAATGGAAGACAGTGAAAGAGACTGGCTTTCTTGATGGAAATAACGGGCAAAAATGTATGGAAAATGAAAAAAAGAGTAGCAAGAACCAAGATAATCCCTAATATAAATTGAAACTGTGATCTTTCTAGAGTATTCAACTTATCGCGTGCACAGAGTAATCTACCACTGAAGTAGAAATAAAGAAAGAATCCCTACGAATTCTATCAAATAACACAGCCACAGAAATATAGTCTGCATAAAACAGGGTTTTGTGAACATTTAAATATGCACGTACGTTCTTCTGCATGCAGCTTGCCTATGCTTACTGTCCTCTTCTGCACAAAACATATAAACTATATAAACAACAGAGTCTCTAACAGACGCGAGAAGATCGTGTCCTGCCAATAAATTATTCTACACAATTAGCATAAACGATTCCATAAAATCATGTGATTCTATGCGTTCGTATGATTTTTTTTTTCTCTCTAAAAAACTAATAGCAAATTGAACATTTTTTTTTAGCCGAAAATTCGATTGCGTTTGAAAGGTCCTTTTCGACAAAGCGTAAATGTCTGTCTTCGCATAATCGCATATTCCCAAAGGTGAGGTTGCCGAGGAACAAAGTAAAGAAATATCTCTCCGTTCGGAGAAATCGACGAAAGCCGATTGCTTGCAAAGGAAAAAAGAGGAAAAGTCACCATTATTACTCGCTCGTTTTCATTTCTGTTGACAGGCTCAATTGAAGAAGAAAAAAGGCTCAGGCCTTACCATGCAATATTTGCACTTCGTAAGGGAAAATTTAGGGCAGCAAAAAAGGAGCAATGTTTTTCATGTGATGAATTTTTCAACGCTAGTAAGCATGCAATGCGATTCATGGTAATTTGCAAGAAAAAACCAAATGAGAAATAGAAGAAGAACGGTTAAACGCAAAACCATTAGTTGGCTACGGCAATATGTATAGTTAGAAGCAAACGTGCTTCCTTTTAGGCAGCATCGATTAGAATTACGATTATGACAATGTTTGCGTTAAGTGCACATAAAGTTCTTCTTTTTTTTTTTTTTTTTTTTTTTTTTTTT